TATATATATACTGAAAAAGGTTGACTAGTGCATCCATTATAGTCATTTTGGCCTTTAGAAAAACAGTTTTTGAGGGTACCACCTCCCAATAAATGTCATTTTGGAAAATTTTTACTTTTTTACTCAATACTTTCACTTTTAATACTTAAGTACATTTTATGTCAGAAATTTAATTTTGATACTTAATTACAAAATATATTAGATACTTTAAGACTTTTACTCAAGTAATTTTCTTAGACTCTGAGACTTTAACTTTTACCAAAGTAATTTTATGGTAAGATACTCATACTTTTACTCAAGTATCACTTTGAGGTACTTTATACAACACTGACATCTTCACAACAATGCTCTGAGGGGCGAGAGCTTGGTTGCAGACTGAACTCAGGGAGGAGCTAGGTACAATAGGCGGTGCTTTGTAGCAGGAAGTGTTTAGGCAGCTCCACGTGGTTGCCACAGAAGATTCAAGGATTTCTCAAACATTCATGAATGAGTCAAAGCAACACGATGAGGGGATGACATTATTACACAATTTAAGGCTCATAAAAGTCAATTTTGTACACCCCCCCCCTAAAAACTACAGGGAAACCAAACTTCATTTTCTTTAACAGAATGTTTGCTGTTGCTCCCACTAGGAATATTAAAAGAAATGTCTTTGACATAAACGTGACATTTTCTTGTTTATTCATTAATTTTATAGTAAGACTGTGATTCAGTGTTTGGAGACAGATGTTAACAGTAGCTGTGTTTGCTCACGCTGCTTCTAAATCAGTAATGGAGCCCACAGATTAATAATACGCTACCAACAGATTGAACCACTTTGCCAGAAAGTGATCGTAAATTTAATTGCAGCAGTACAAATATGTCTTTTAGGGCCTAAAACCGTCTTAGGAACAAGGTATTCACTGAATGTAAACTCAAACCATCGTAAAACCACAAAAAATATGTTTGATTTCCATAACAACAAGTTTGACTTCGTTCATTTGAGACGATCCATTTTTCAGTCTCAGACAATAAAAAATATTATTCTCACAGCAAACTATACTTCAAAATATACATTTTATATCTTAACTCAGTGTTTTTTAACATAGAATCAGATCATTCCTGGTGATGTGACTATGAAATGAGGAAAAGAGAAGATTTCGTTCAGTCTAACCCGATGTAAATAGAAAGTATGCGGCTCGGTTTTTGTGGTATGAACCCAAGCATTCATTCCTCGCCTGGAGACGGGTGTGACCGTCAGAATGTTTGGGCCGAAGGCTGCAATTCAGTCGCTCGTGTGTAACGTGTCCTGAAACTTTGTGCTGGTGTAGCGTGCGTGAAAGCCCTTTTTACTGATGCTGTCGTCGGAGTGAAACTTCAAAGTGATAGCATCTCCGGCTGAGTAGACGTCTTCTGGGGCCTGAAGGAGAAGATGTAGATAAAGAGATGAGCGAAGAGTAATTTTAGGGTATTTGTGGTACAATATGCACATCAGTCCTCCTACCCCGGAGCTACAGTACCGCCCCAGCCTTGGAGACTTGATGTCAGCGCCATCATACAGCTCCACGTAATCGTAGCCACAGTCAGCTTCCTCCTCCATCTCAAACACTTGGAAGATGATCTCCACTCCGTACCCCTTCTCTGCAGTGATCACCCATAGGCAGTCTGAGCCCCCGGGGTAGTTGTTATCTCCAAACTGTGCATGAGAGTACAGATCTTTCATCTTGACCTCAGCTTCGAGGCTTCCTCCACACTCTGGGAATTCACAGCCACAAAATTAAAGGGTCAAGAGGAGCGGCTCGTGAAATGAGGGAAAGAATGCAGCTTTTTAAACCTCAACGGAAAACTGTCGTTTCACTCTTTTTCTTCATTTTTGTTTGAGAGCACATCAAAACTTTAATTATTATTTTTTTCTTTACCCACCTGCTCCGTATGAAGCCTCAAAACCCCTCTTCTGCACCGAGTTATCAGAGAAAAACTGTAGGAACATTTTGTTGCTGCTGGAGACAACAGGAGAAGGCTTCCTGGTGCCACAAACGTGCCCCAGAGAAGGAGCACGAACATCTTTGCCATCAAAGATCTCCAGATGGTCATAAGCACACTCCAGATGAGCCTCCATGTCGACCTCATTAAAAACCTGAAAGATATTTAAATAAATTTACACACGTGCCTCTAAAATGCTTTTGAAACTCTGGATCTTGACATACGAGTTTGATGCGGTGACCCGGTGTTGTGGACAAAAACCAGGTGCAGGCTATCTTACTGGGGTACTTGTCGGGCCAGTTGGGGCTGTTGATTGTGCCGAAAACACCGTTTACAACATGATCGCATCCAGCTGAAGGAAACACAAAAATAGCTGCATTACATCATTTCTGCCCCATCCTCTGGGGAACTTTCCTGCAGACAAATGCTCAATTATAACCAAGAAAACAAAGATAAAACCGAGTTTCTGGGAAAATGCTTAATTACTTACACTCAGATTTAAAAGTTTAAACTTGTAAAAAAGTTTTACTTGTCAAAGTAACAGCTAAACACGATTTGGACCTGAAGTGCTGTCTAAAAGCAACAAATGCTAGTAAAATGCTAAAAAGAGCAATACTGGCTAAACCAAAAGTAGCAAAACACTAGCTAAAAGGTAAAAGTGCCAAAACTATTAGCTAAAAGCAACATATGTAGCTAAAAAGCACCATAGCTTAAAGTAACAAAATACTAGCTAAAAGTTAAAAGGCCCCAAATGTTGACAAAGCATCAAAATACTCAATATAAACCAAAAGTAGAAAAACCATTAGCTAAAAGTAGTAAAACGCTAGCTAAAAAGCACCACATTTTATCTAAATTTAACAAAAAGTTAGCCAAAAACTAAAACAGCAATATGCTAGCTAAAAGCAAAAAATAATTTCTCAAAGTAATAATGGATTAGTTAAAAGCTAAAAGCAGAAAAAGGCTAACTAAAAATATAAAAGTAGTTAAATGGTAGCTAAAAGCTAAAAGTAGCTAAAGGCTAAAACAGGAAAATATTAACAAAAACCTAACAGCAGCCAAAGGGTAAATGCATTAAAATCAGCATTAAAAAACTAAAATGGTGAGTTGAAGCAGATTTCAAAGTGAAGAACGTTTTTGAAGAAACTGAAAAGAAGAAGTAGAAATAGGATAATTTTGTAGGGAAATTGTAAATAAAGTTAAATAATTGACTAAAATCAAAATTCACCTCCTGAATGATTCAGTTTTGTGAGATGGCTGCTCCTGAAAGTTAGTTCTTATATCAAGAGTTTAACCTGTTTAACCAATATTTCAAACTTTCTGTTAGATTATAACATCTAATGTAAACATGTAAATATCTAAAAGGACAGTTTTTCTTCATCTTCAGAAAACATCAGAATGAAAGTTTGCCTTTAAGGTTAAAGGTAGAACTGAAGCAGTACTTCAGACCGACAGCAGGTGCACCATACCTTCCTTGCAGTCGTGTTTATTGTCATGCAGCATGAAGCCGCTGCGGCACTGACACCTGTAGCTCCCAAACGTGTTCACACATTCATGCTGGCAGCCTCCGTTAGCTTTGGAGCACTCGTCCTCATCTGTGAAGATGTTTAAAGACTTTCAGTCTACCTCAGCTAATCTTGTACATAAAAAAACTTTCTAACAGGTGGACTTCAAATTCTTGGCCCAGGGGGAGGAAATTTTGTAACGGACTGACTGAGATAAGAGGAGGTGGAGGAGTTTAAACAGCAGTTTTGAAAAAAAAAATGTCTGTCAATGCCTAAAATTGCTACAACATTTATAAATGTTGAGTTGAAATTTGGTATGGTAGTAGAGAGTCAATGATCAATGTAAAAAAGATGGATGAAGCATCACCACTTCCTTTCTTTGAAGCTGATAGACTGCTAGCTTCGACTTCCAGGTTATATCCTAATGTCCAGTTATTATCTTTTGCCACTGAAAAGCTGAAGACTTTTGTTTTGTTTGTTTTCTTTACCAATCACTTCATGTTCAGGATAATTGATGTGAAAAAGCAGAATATGTTGTAATACTTCAAACAATTACCGGAGAAGAAGTGAGCCTTGAAGCCCTTCTTGGACACGGTGTTGTCCGACTTGAACTCGATCCTCATGTTGTTTTGGAGGGAGGCGATGACGTCGGGTTTCTCTGAGCCGCAGAACTTCCCGTGAAGCTTTGAGTCTGAGCTCAGCCCGCTGCGCACCTCCACGTAGTCGTATTTACACACCTGATGAGGAGGAGGAGCGCACAGAGGAGCGTTCAGACAGAAAGAAAATAGAACAGCCGCTTCATGAACGACTCGGCGAAAACCTACGTCGTTGCCTTCGGTTTCGAACCCGTCGAACTCCAGGGTGATCCGGTACTGAGCCGGGGCCACCAGCTGCCACACGCAGTTCTTGTTGTGAGGGTACTTGTTGGGCCAGCCGGGGGTGGAGAGGGAGCCATTCAGACTGGTGATGAAGCCGCCGCAAGCAGCTGCTGGAGGGAAAGAAACAATCAAAAACGATTATTTTAGAGGAACACTTAACATGTAACACTTTGACAGGTGGATGATTGTGTGATTGAAGGTGTGTCTGTCTGTTAGCAAAATATCTCATAAACTACTTTGTAGATTTTAATGAAACTCTCAGAAGCGAGTACATCTACAGCTGATTAACATTCGAAGTCAATCTGATTCAAAACGGCACCGACAGCTAAATAAATTTAGCAAACACAACATTGCTTATAACTTAGACCTTAACACAGACGTTGAGCTAAATTGGTGTGGTAGTCGCTGAGAGTCATCCCCAACACATCCTCAGAACACTGACAGATCGCACAGGTCTTCTTTTTTCATCTTCAGTAAAGCAGTATATGTATTTCTTTAAAGAATGCTAGTTTAATAACTAGCAAAAATGTCTGCAAACATTTTCATTTCAGAAATGACAAACCTTTCATCTAAAGAATGAAACAGAAAATTACCCAAAAAAGCTTCCATGTTGTGTTTATTTTTAAAATATTACCTTCTATTCTAACTGAAAAAAGATGGAAGAGCAACACTGCCCTCTTGTGGTGGAAGAGGAGACTTCCTCTTGAAATATAGTTTTTTTTCCTCTTTGACATCTTTTGATTCATGTAATAAAAAGCTGCTGCAGTGAATTCTAAACTAACGCTTTTTATTGGATGATTCAGAGGAGCAAAACTGCCACACTCACCATCACAGCTGCGTCTGTCGGCTGCCAGCTCATACCCAGGATCACAGGCACACATGTAGCTGCCCAGCGTGTTCAGACAGCGCTGCTCACACTGGCCGTTATCAGGCCTGGAGCACTCATCCATCTCTAAGCAAAATAAAAAAACTGAAATTACTGGATGTCTGCGCCGAACAAACTGTGCTGAAACTCGCTCCCCCTCTTTGACCTTTTAAAAAACTGGCGGCGAACCCGGCCTTGTTGACCGAGCCGTCGGAGGCAAACTTGAGCCAGAGATGGTTGGAGCTGCTCTTGATGCTGTCCGGTTTGTCGTAGCCGCAAAAGCGTCCAAGGACGGGGCTGCTCTCCGTATCGCCGTCCCTCACCTCCAGGTAGTCGTAGGCACAGCTGTCGTGTTTCTCCGTCTACGGCCCAGACCAGTCCAGACCTTAAATGAGCTAAAACTTCACAAGTTCAATCTGCCCCGACTTAACAATAAACAGTGACCAGAAGGTGTCTTTAGGGAGATTAAAGGTGTTTTAAGAAGCCGTGATCAGGCGGTAAAATGCAGCAGTCTGATAAAAATGTTGACTCTATTATTTATGTTTACTTGTTCTGTAATTTTACCTCAAACGACACAAAGGAGAGGCCAACTTGGAACCCTTCTGGGACTGTGATCTGCCACACACACACTTTGTTGGACTGGTACTCGTCAGGATAATTGGGAGACTGGATCTGGCCGCTGTCCCGCTTCAGCTCCCCTCCGCAAATGGCTGCAGGGGGAAAGAAAAAAGAAAGGTTAATTTTGAATTTCTTTCATTCGCAGCTCAGAGAACAGTTTGTAATCAAACAGACAGAAACAATCATTTGAAAGTAAATTACTCCTAAAATAAAAGTAGTTTCAAATTCTGTGAATTGAAATGAATTTTGCCAACTTTTTGTTTGCATTCAATCGTATCTCTGCAAACCTGGAGTGTGAATTAAAATCCCCGTTCATTCTGTGTTTTTACCCTCGTAAACAGCTGAAAATCCTTTGCCCACCCAGCTGCTGCTGCTTTTGAATTCAACCCAAAGTCGACTGTCGGTTGAGACGATGGGCTCTGGAAGTGCGTCGCCGCAGAGTCGACCTGTCGAAGCACAGGAGAGGACGGCACGTTGGGATTTATGCTCTTGTTTGTGGTGATGTTTGTAAAGCAAGGCACCCGACTGACCTCTCAGAGGAGCTTTTCTCCAGAATCCGTCTCGGACCTCCACGTAGTCGTACCAGCACGAATGACTCTTGAAGAGGTCCATGGAGGTAAAGTTAAGGACTATCTGAGGCACAGAGGAGACGGGTTTGAGCATTAACAGGTAACAGGAAGTATAAGAATCAATACCTTTACAAATATAAGTAAATACACAAGAGGTAAAATGATTTCTTTTACAATTAGTTTACATTATGGTGTTTAAAAGTGGTCCTCCCACTTCTACCAAATTTAACATACATTTTTATAGATTTAAATCTTGCAATGCACACAAATATTCATTAAAATATAAGAGGGTAATTTATTCTGTAAGCCACATGTATCAAACTCAAGGCCTGTGGGCCAAATCTGGCCCTCGTTAACATTTTATCCAGCCCCAAAGACAATACTTTAAATGTGAAATAGTTTTATGGTTTCTCGTCACGTCACTGGGTTTAGTGAGTTCTTCTCATGACAGCTGAACAGCTTTCAAGACAGAACAGAGTTGACTTTAATATTTATTTTCTGAATTTTTTTTTATTTTAAAGTAAAAACTATTTGATTTTTAGTGAGGGTTAAATTTTTTTTACTCAGTTTGCTGGATTGTGGTGAAATATATCTCTAAGGTATAATAAATTAAAAAGCTGATAAAGAATAAGGTATAAGAAATGAAATGTAATATTTTTTATATGTTAGGTTATGTGTGTTCTAAATGCTACAGAGAGCATAATTTGTAAAAGGTCATTTGTATTTCTATACGAATAAATTAGGTTAAAATTAACTAAGTATATTTTCTGACTCCTGGATCATCCTGATTTCAGCAGCAGTTCCAGAGATGTCTTGGTTTGTCTTCCTAATCATGATGACCCATTAATATTTGGTCTGAGTCCTATTTTTAGATTGTTCTAATCAATTTTTTTTGTCATTGTAAAAAGGAAACGTTAAACAATATTTGTATTATGCAGATCCATTATCTGTGTCATGGAAAAGTAATGGATGCGTTCCAGACCATGTAAAATTTAACAAAATCCTTTGTCTGAAAAAATGTCCATGCAAAATTACAAAAATGAAAATAAAGATTATGTTTTTTACATCTTTTACATATTATTTCCAGCTTACATGGCTAACACAGTCAAAAAACTCAAATCAATCAGTGCTTCTGTAATCTTTCTCAATCTTTTTTTCTTAAGGAAGTAACACTTTCAAAATAAAATTTGAATGTCACAATAATGTCGACATCTCTTGTTAACCTGACTTACTGCTAATAGCAAAATTTAAAGAAAAAATATTAATACCAAATTTATTTGTAAATCCTTATTGACTAACAATTAGGATTTACCAGCTAGGAAGGAAAAAACGTTGCTAGCTTGCAGGGAAAATGACAAAAATTTAAGGCTTTTCTGTTAAAATTCACATTTTTTTGTAGCTACTGTTCAAAAAAGGGCTTCAAAAAGTTCTTTAAGATATTTCATTTAAATGACACGTAGATTATTCATTATATTTTGACAAATTGAAATCATTGCAAAGGTTTTAACTGATGCAGCTTCAGTCTTTTTCTCCATACAATTTGCTTTGATGAGTCACATCTTACTTTTTTCAATCAGTATTGACAGAACAGCCGGTTAGGATGTTATCAGTCCATTAAATGGACGTTATTAGCAGTTATCAGTCCCATAGAATGGCTTCAGACTGTCCTGACAGTGCCCCCTAGTGGGTTAACAGTGCCATATACATTGGAATGCAACAATCTGCTACCGCTGGAGTCCAGTCCACTTTGCCCATGTCATTTTCTCTAAAATTAACCTCAGTGACTTTATGCCTCATGTTAACCAGATTGCATTAAAAAACCTTGGTTTTATACCTCATACTAACCTGCAGACAGTCTGAAGTCATTCTATGGGACTGATAACGGCTAATAACGTCCATTTAATGAATGATAACATCTAAAGCGGGTGGACAGAATTGGCCCTTGCCTTGGACCAAGTTTGTTATTTTGGCCCCCCTGTGTAACTGAGTTTGACAGCCCTCCTGTAAGCTGTTCTGATTCTTTAAACGCCTCTAAATGTTTGTCACCTTTTCTCCTGGCGTGACAGAAATCCTCCAAACACAGTGGGTGTACGCTGAATAGCCGTTGGGGAAACCAGGAGACGAGAAGTTTCCAGTGCTTTCCTGCAGGCTTTCCCCACACTCTGTGGCACGGTCGCACACACAAACAATGACCTGAACATAGTAAATGAGGTCTGAAGAGCCAAAATCCAGTTTAAAAGGTGCTTATTTTACTTGCACATTTGTAGAGTTTCCGGGCCTGAGCGACGTCCCCTTTGCTGAGCCTGGTCCTCTGTCCGATGGACGGCCTGACCCCGTTGACGTCATAACGAGGCAGGATCGTGTCCAGGAAGATGCTTCTGTTTCAGACAAAACACAAATAATATTAGACAATCTGAGGATATCTAAACTGACTGGAGAAATGAGATTTTCTGCACTAATAAAATGGGTGTAGAATACACACTGAGAAACCTAAAACTTTTTGTAAGTTTTAGTTTAAAACGTGTAAAAATCCTGTTTTTTTTTATTAGAGCTTGGTTCAGAGGAGTGACACATCAACACCTTGATGGTTTTTCGATCTCTCACTTGGTTCGGAGCTCCCTCGCTCCCTCTGTTGCCATGGTGATGAACCCGTGAATGACAGGCATGTGCAAACAGAGCGCTCTGAATGGGGCCTCTGGCCGGTGCCAGCCGGCTCAGTGGAGCCCGCTCCTGAATGCCAGAGCAAAAAAAAAAAAAAGGGCCACTCCAGCCCAAATTATTTAACAAAGGCCGAACGGCCAGGCCTTTATTTAGCTTGGCTCGCCTCCATGACCCAAACCTGCAGCACAGTTATGGAGGTAAAAAACCAAAGCAAAGAGAGAGGAGAGGGGGGCAACAACAAGCACAAGATGAAGCTCAAAGGGAGACGAGTGTGAAAACTTTTCTTTGTTGCAGTCATGGGATTTTCGATGAAAAAAGAAAGAACAAAGAGAGAAACCGGTCAGAGTTTTTTCACACGTGAAGTTAAAAACTAAGCAAGAGGGCTCACAGATGATTGTTTCGCTCTAAAGTTCAGACAAATAAACGAGTTTAAAACCTTGCTTTTGATGTCCGATGCAAAATAATTGCTTGTTGCTGTGAACAGGAAACACTTTGACTCTGAAGGATTTTTTTATTAAAAGGAAGTGGAAGACGCCAGGCGGCACGGTGGCTCAGTTGGTAGAGCTGATGCCTCTCAGCAAGAAGGTCACCGGTTCAAATCCCGGTCGCGGGACCTTTCTGGGTAGAGTTTGCATGTTCTCTCCGTGCATGAGTGGGTTCTCTCCGGGTACTCCGGCTTCCTCCCACAGACCAAAAACATGAC